TCGTGAGAATATTATTGTGTTATTTTTTTTATCAATTTATTATTTTATTCTCATTCTACGTGACTTTACCGAAAGAACCAAAGAAGAGGATGGGGATGGTTTAGTTGTATTTGTATATGTGTTTGGGTGATCTGTTTACCTTTCTTGTACTTTACCCTACTATCGTGTTATTGTATTGTGGTTGTTGTTTTGACATTCTTACCCGCCCCTACTGGACATCTGTAAAAAGAAAAGAGAGAGCTTCATAGCTCATCGGATTCCTCCAGCACAAATACATATTCTGATCTATATGTGTATCTATGTATCTATCTCCACGAGTCTCTTATCTCCGTCATTACGTATCTTTATGATGCGTGTCTCTCTATTGGTGTACTCTGTAGTCCATTTATTGGGTTGCTTGGCCGTAATGGCATAACTTTTGGCATTGATTTTAATTTCCCGTGGCTCGTCTTGTGGAGGTGGTGGGGAGCTTTAGACGAACAGAACAACACTGACATTGCCCACAGCTTAGCCCCTAACTAAGCCGCCTATAACGTCTGTTATGCACAGAAGTGGGTCAGTCTATCTAAGCACTATCCAGGGTCAACCCCGCTTATCTTCCTGAGATCATGTCAAGATCGGGCCCATTCCTGGTGAATTGGTCATGGTATTTTTATTGTTGTTTACCCTTATTATTTAGCCAATGTTAGTTACAATTTCGGTTTACTATTTTTATTTTGAGGTTCATTCATTACGTATGTCATCCTTTAGTACCGAGAATAATTTCCATGTTTTTTATTTAACTTGTTGGTATTTATTTTCTTTAAAAAAATATTTCACGTGAAAAAATCCCTTTTGAGATAAAAACATCTCGTTTGCAACCTGATTTAACCATGAGAAGATCTGGCCAAATGTGTGTCGTTAAGACGCTCTGCGACACAACACAGCCAAGAAAATGGATTGTTACGTTTACAAGTATTTAGCGCCGGAGACTGTGATTGTTCAAATTGATCAAATTATGAATCCTAATTGGCTGCGAAAACCCTAAATCTTAGGTCAACATGAGAGCCTGTTATAAATATATGTACGTTGAACTTCTTTAGCAGCACCGTACATAGCCAGCTGCGCTAATCGGAGGTGTGGGTGGGGGAGGGAGGACAGCAAACTAAAGACAAATAAGCAGTTCTAAAGAAATAAGTTGATACAAGAAACTCATTCACAGTGGTGACGCAGGTCACTCTTGCGAATTAGACTCGTCCTGGTCTCTTTGAGTTCTCACCACCTGGTTACACAAATTAAACCTGAAACATCGTCAAGCCACACGGAACAGTTTCAACCTTCCACGCCGCCAATGGTCAAGCATCAACTGAATCAGGGCCGGGCATGGCCGATGCAGCCACCTGATGCACAAATGGTGCATCAAAGATTGGCGGCCTGCGAGTGCGGCCACGAATCCCGAACCATCGACCCACATCCTAAGCACTCCACTGCTGCTGTTTTCACTCCTTCAAAGGAGGAATGGACGAAATACACTCTGCGTCTGAGCAGACAATTGAGTGGATAACAGATCTAAATTACATCTGTAATCTTCTGCTGTTAATCCATACGAGAGAAAGACTTATCAGTATGCCACAATGACCAACACAGCATAATGGGGAGGACTGCATTCAGCAGCGGTTTGACAAACGTCTGAAAATTATTTTCACTCTAAATAGTGATTTCCTACTCTGAGAAAAGTCTCAGTGAGCCAAAAATAACCATTTTCAATAGGGCACTGTGTTGACATGTTGGGCCAGTTTCTTTGTTTGCATGTGATAGGAAACCAGGGTACCGAGAGAAATCCTACGCACATGGGTATAACACTCAAAGGTCGATACTGATGTCAGCACCCTGCTTGCTCTGCTGAGTTGTTGGAAGTCTTGACACCTATCTCAAATATCAGTACATGACCCACCAACCCCGGCTCCTAAATGCCATATCACAGGCATGCACCACCACGACTGCTGTAATTGTACCCCCACATGCCTCTATCGAGAATTAAACCTCCGCTCATGTGGTTCGGTGGCGGGCTGCATGGTAATTGAACGCCACTCAATATGTGGGTCCACCCACGCGTATATGTGTAATCATCTCGAATGTTGATTGAACTACTTGTTACTGATAATGAGAAAGATCACTCATTATATTTATGGTCATTAAGTTAATTAAACCGCACTTGGGAATTCCGAATATCGATCCCCTCGAGGGTATGTGCTTTCGGCTATAAATTCAGCCCTTGTGCCATGCTTAAATAGATTAGCAAGAGTAGTTATATGCGAGGAGGTCCCTGATCTTAATAATGACTCTTGGTAATAACAGTAAAATATGATGATGATGACAATGAGTCAAAAGTGTCTCCCTGCTCAAATGACCATTGCGCAGCACTCACCGCGCCTAGACTTTCGATCGTCCACCGTATCATCGTGCCCGTCACTTAGCACTACAGCTCACGGGAGAAGTCTCCGCAGTAGCGCGAGTCACAACCTCCTCCTCTCCGCCAAGGACCGTCACTGCCAGGCGTCGTTCCTCTGAGTGGCAGCACCTGTATATCTCTCCGCTCCTGTCCCCCTGCACTACAACTCGTGGTAGAATTCTCAATATCGTGACTCACAACTTCCTACGCTCTATCCTAAGGACCGTCGCTGCCAGGCGTCGTTTTTCCGTCGAAGCCGGCCATCACCGTCGCGCTGCATATTTGCAGCAACATTCAATCTTCACCGACTTTTTAAAGACACTTAATAGGCACAAAGTCTATCCCCTCTTTCGCCCGGATTTTTATCGATGCCGAGCTTGGCCCCGTGCCTCCAGGGGTCAAGATCATTTACGCCTTTGCGTCACAAATTGTGTCATCGTTATTATTTCTGTCGACGACCATGTAACGGGGAAAACTCATTCCTATGGCAGGGTCCATTCCCTCCCTAGCACTAATTTCCCGCACTTCCGATTTGCACGGCTGGCTACGTACGGTGCGGAAGGAGGTCAACAGACACTGAGGAGATAATGATGTTGATTTTTTTTCATTTTGGGCTTTCAATATTGAGTCTGGTTCTTTGAAACTCCACCCCCTGCAACTGGAAATAGCAATCGTCGTGAGCAATGGCGGAGCCAGGATTTTCAGGTAGGGGGGGGGGGGCAACCCCTGCAGCATTGAAAAATGATAGAGAAGTTGTTAGTAAGTAAGGAGTTAAATTTTGATTTAAAGCTTTCGTGACTGCAGTAATTAATATTTTTAGTTTTTTTCGGTAAAGTCACGTTGAAGGGAAACAACAAAATAATAAAATATATTTTATTGTTTTATATATATTATTATTTTGTTGTTAACAAAATAATAAACTATATATTTTATTGTTTTATATATTATTATTTTGTTGTTTCCCTTCAACGTGACTTTACCGAAAAAACTAAGAATAAGTAAGGAGTTGTTAGTAAGTAAGGAGTTGTTAGTAAGGAGTTACTAAGTAAGGAGTTGTTAGTAAGTAAGGAGTTGTTAGTAAGTAAGGAGTTGTTAGTAAGGAGTTACTAAGTAAGGAGTTGTTAGTAAGTAAGGACTTGTCCCTTGCTTTTTACTCGCCGCGTGTGCGGCGATGGTGCAGCCATCGATCGAGGGTCGAATTCGAACCGCGTGGTGTGATCGGCATCGCGCTCGCTGAAGGTGTCGATGACTTCAGGGAAGTCGTGTGCTGTAGACGCAACTGCGCACAATTCTGTGAGTCGCTTATAACTGCTTTGCCGTTACTTATTGCCAATTATGGACTCAGACTATTGTCCTATCATCTCATAGAGTCCCTGGCACATAATACTATGATACACAGTGGCAGTGGGGGTCGCAAAATGCCCAATGATCCGATCGAAATCCCTAATTTCGATCGGATCATTGGGGGGGCACCCCACCCCACCCCCCCTCCCACTGCTGGATGAACACCTCCCCAAACCGTCGCTGCGTCACACGGTCCAACGGTGCAAATATCAATGCAGCTTCTGTACGTTTGTGTGTATGTTGAACTTCTTTCGAACCGTACAAAAAAACATAAGAATAGGCTTTACCCTTTCTGGCAATGAAACAGGATGTGTTGAGATGCTCAAACCCCAAATACTGATAACTATTACAAGGCATCACGTCTGCATTAGCCACACATGCAACAAACATGCTCTGAGCATGATATATGCATTGTCATTGAAATTGATTGACCTACGCCAGAGAAAGCCTTATTTTATGACCTTGTTTCACCAGTGTTAGACCTGAGAACACCAAAATATGAACAGAACAAAGGCAAAGCAAGTGTTAAATTATTAATGGCTCGGGTTGAGGCGTTTTATTTATTGGACCTTTTTTCTTTTATTGACAGAAAGGGTGAAGTCTCTTTTTTCCTCATCAATTAGATACTGACACAAATGGAACCCATAGATATCACCAAATGCTGTTGTTGGATTTATCCATTGGTATGCAATGGTTGCAGTGCAAGGGCGCCACAGTGGCAAGATGTTAACTACCTCACCTGGTATGCAGGAGATCTTGGGTTCGATCCTGATCCCGAACCCTGACACCTGTATATTTATATTCTTTGGTTCTTTCGGTAAAGTCACGTAGGTGAAAAAAATTAATACATTAAATCACGACGTTTTTATTGCAACACAAGCAATCAACATCAGGTGTGACAACCACAGCAATAAATTGTATATTTGGAGTTTGCATGTCTCTCTCCCCGTGGTCGCATGGATTTTTCTCCGGGTCCTCCGGTTTTTTCCTCCACACTTAGAATCAACATTCATTTAGAGTGTTTGGCTGCTATACATTTCCACGTGATGTGCCACTTCGTTGAGCTATCATTTTTGGCCAGGTCACTTCTGAAAAAGAGCTTTATATCTCAGTCGGCCTTACCTGGTAATTTATTTAGTTTTGTTTTTAATACTTTGTAGTAAAATGGCAGCCTCGTGGTGTGTGTTTCCCCCCCCCCTCTCCACCCCGTTGCGTTCGTTTCAAGAACCATTCGGCGAGTAAACCGAAGCCCGGCTCACTGGACTCAGCCACCAAGAGGGACAAGCCGAGGACCCCGAAAGAGGCCGGCAACAAACCGGATAAAAACAAACAACAAAAGACCGCACTGCAGGAGACCAAGGCGCGGCAGAGAGCCGAGGTTAGCTTTCTCGCCATACACTCCCATACGGCACAATCTCGACGCGGTGGCTAGGAGATGCTAACTACCTCGCCTGGTATACAGAAGGTCGTGGGTTCAATCCCGACCCTGACTCATGTATATTTGGAGTTGGCATGTCTCTCTCTCTCTGTCCCATCATCACGGTGGCTAAGAGATGTTAACTACCTCGCCTGGTATACAGGAGGTCGTGGGTTCGATCCCGACCCTGACTCGTGTATATTTGGAGTTGGCATGTCTCTCTCCTCGTGGTCATGTAGATTTTTCTCCAGGCCCTCCAGTTTTCCCCTCCACATTTAGAATCAACATGTGTTTAGAGTATTTGGCTGCTATACATTTCCACATGATAAGCCACTTCATTCAGCTAGGATTTGTGGCCAGGTCACTTCTGGAAAAGAGCCTCAGTGGGCCTTCGGATCACATTCTATGATTTGTCTTGTGTATGGACAACACGTCCAGGAGCTAATTTGCCAATGGCAATGTCTGATAGCCACAAAAGGGCTTTCAGCAGTCTGAGAGGTAGTGTAGTTTTGCTCCTACGCTGAAAAAACAACAGACTACGGTGCCTTGTATATGGCCACCACCGTTGGGGTTGCACGGCCACATATAGCACGTTGACCATACCTACAATATTGCGTTTTGCCTGTGCATCCTTACTGTCAACCCACTGCTGGATGATGGCCTCCTTGATGCCTGCGTGGGTTGCGAGGGTCGTTTGAGCATACGTCACCAAGCTGGTCAGTGCAGGGGTTGGCGAGGTGAGCGTAGATGTTAGTCAGTTTAACACGTAGGCTTTCGCGACCAAGCGTATCCATAATAAAGGGTTTTTTTGGGGGTTAGATCACAGAAATTCTGGTTGTCGCCTGACGAGGCTAGTTGTAATCACCAGCGAAACATCGTACTCGAATTGTAAATGTGGGTTTAGTCTCCAACACACCATTGTAACTAATTAGCCAGTTTTGTTTACTCAAGAAACCTTACTGATCAGCTATGTGTGTGGATGGCAGATTTAACGATGTGGAACTAATTAATTGTTGATGCTGCTGCAGCGTTGGTAGTGATGCACACACCCAATTAATAAAATAAACAGTGTGGTCTTAAAAAAATTAAATAGATAAGCGACGTTTTGGGCCATAACCCTTCTGGGGACTTCCTCATAGTTCCACAAAGAAGGCCTCATTGTCCGAAACTTCGGCTGTTGTATTTACATTTCATTTAAGACAGTTTTATTGATGGATATTTTGCAGGTTTTTTTGGTTGTCTGTCAATAGATGTGGATGCATAGAAGAACAGTACAACGATGGATTTTCCCGCACTGCCTTCTGCTTTGTGAATCGCGATTGAGCAGTTTCGCGGAATGCTGTGCAATGTTTAATGACTATGACCTTGGGTATGCGTAAAGTGGAGCATTATATCTTAACTACAATGCTGCTTGGAGCAACTGGGAAAAAAGAATCCGGTACTATTTTGCATAAACTTGGTCTTAAAACCCAACAAAGTTTCTCCGGGAGAATCTTTGAAAAGCTGCCATGCAAACTCAAGCTGTGCGGCAAAATTGCTATCCGCATTATCCCACGTAAAATTAAAATTTCATACATAATTCATGGCTTTCTATTGTGCCACGCACATCAATTAAGCAGCTTATCTGGAGCGCTGGTGGGGCATATCACGGATTAATAAATATCGCAAGCAAACGCTCATTACTCCCTGGTGCGACAGGAAACAGAAATGCCGCCGCGACGTGCCCTATTGATACGAGTTGTGATGGATTATTGTAAATAATAATCCCATCAACCCCTGCTTCGAAAGCGCTCGCCGCAGATATAGAGGCATGCGCCCTCGACAGCTCTGACGCGGCGGTCTCCGCTCAGGATGTGCATACCTGTCAACCCCTTATCAGTGCCTTCCTTTATGACAGACCAATTCAGACCTTATTGGTCACGCTGTGCCCTTATAAATCTCAACGTTCATCCAACAAAGTCCCATCGCAAGGGAGAAACGCGAACAAATAAACAAAACAAATTGGCCCGTATTGAAACCGCTGTACGCTGTATGGACCTGAAAATTCAATTTCCCTGTACAAGAATACGGGTAAACCATATGGGTTGACAGCTATGGGCGTGTTCCTGATTTTGGCATAAATTTTAGTTTTTTTGTCCTTCCCCCGCACCTCCAATTAGCACGGTTGTGCTACGTGCGGTGCGAGAGAAGTTCAACTTACATACAATCCGAAAATCGAGCCTCGATATGAAACTCGGGATGATCCGTGGAAATAAATGTGCTCTAAACAATGAACGACACAGGAAGTGGCGTTGCTGTCGTGAAGTCACGGGATTTGACGTCGCTTTCATGATATCACTTCCACGCTTTGCCTGCCACTCGGCATCGAGTGATGATGTCGCTAGTGTTGGCAGGAAGACATTAAGTGATGAGGTTTTGCAAATGATGAGAAAATCTGAACAAACGATTTGGTGATAGTGTCGCTGCATTGGCAGTGGTGCACAAGCACAACACGCCCGTCACCAACACTGCGGCGTTAAACAAAAATATATACTTGGCGACGTTTTGGGCAGTGGCCCCTTCATCGCGCGTAAATGAAGCATGCATAGAAAGTCCAATTTTTTCCTCGAAGATATGAGAATTAAAAAAATCGTAAATGTTGACTTTCGAAACTCATCGCCGGACCCTGCCGATTGTGGCCTGCGCTGGCGCGGTGCGGGCACACAGATCTACGCGCTCAACAAAGTGATGACGGAACTGGAGCAGCAGCAGTTTGAGGAGTTCTGCCGCCAGATGCACCAGCAGATCGCCAACGGGGAGGAGGGCGGCACGGAGGCGCACGACGGCGACATCATCGCCGCGTGCCGCGTCTGATCGCGGCCACCAAGAAAGGGCAACCCCCTCCACCTCTCACCCGCCCCCCCCCGCCCCCACTTCCCTCCTCCTCCCCCACTAACGCCCTCACCGAGAGCCACGTCCAAGCGACCCGGCGGTCGAAATCGAGATTCGTAACTTGGTGTCAGAACAATTGTCGCGATTCACGGACGCGGTTCGAGTCGCGAGATTGTTCTTTTGATGTCAGATGGTAGTGCCTCCAGTGGCTGCTGCTGCTGCTGGGGTGACGTGAGCCTGTCGTGCGGAATTTGGCGCCAAGCAAAAAAGCATTGGTTGTTACTCGCGCGATCTCATGCATTCATAGCGGGTCGAATAATCGGTATTGATCGACGACTTTACACCTCCTTCTACCAAATTTTCCTTAAGCTCCATAATACGGCAATCGGATCATGTGCACGGTAATCGGTCGATGCAAATTATAAGCGGATACACGTCGAAGCCATTGGAACAAACGAGACAGAACACATTTCAAGATTCCAGGTTTATTCAAATTTAACCAGGTGAGAACGCAAGAGACCAGGACGAGTCTCATTTGCAAGAGTCACCTTGGGGCATTAGTCTGCCGGTACCGTTGGTGGAGGGGTGGCACGGTGATATTTGCTGTTATGTACAATCCCAATTGTGTAATTGGAACAATCGACACGCACTGTTAATAATAATGAGGGTACAACAGAGGCGGGAAGCGAATCGATCCTCGACGCGGAAATCGTGCTGTGACGTTGCGACCGACTACAACGCGGTAAGAGAGGGCTTCTGGATCGCCGCGTGAATACAAAGTGGCCTTGTCATCCGTTGCGCTGGCCATGGGCGTTATTCCTTACGGTGGTGGCCTGTTGCACAACATTCTAGATTTGAAACTTTCGTGACTGCAGTGGTTCATACTCTTTGGTTTTTTCGGTAAAGTCACGTAGGTTAAAATAAAGGAAAGACAAGAAAAAGAAAAAAAGAAAAAAACTAAATTAAATCATGACGTTTCGGAGGCAACACAATATCAGATATTTCGCTGTGTCTATTCCACCTGAAGAAGGAAGCTTGTGTTGCCTCCGAAACGTCGTGATTTAATTTAGTTGTTTTTTTCTTTCTTTTATTTTAACCTACGTGACTTTACCGAAAAAACCAAAGAGTATGTTGCACAACACTCTGTCCACACACAATGGGCTCGCGTGCATTTTCCTATTGTATCGTGATTGTTTACCTTTTGACGGGTTACTTTGCCACCCACTATTTGTTGGAACCGTGTCCATGTCTCTGAGCTAAAAAAAGTCCACGATCCATGGGCGGCGGTGCTCATATGAACCCGCGGCCCTGAGTCAACGTCATGGAAAAATTCCAAGCTACCATGGGATGATGATGAGCCAGTCACTGCACAGAAGAATGCCTGCTTTGTTGACCACTTGCATGTTTAGTGGTGGCTATAATTTTTTCAATCCACAGGGTGGATGATGGCCTCAATTGTAACACCTCAATGGGATTCGATATCGCATCGTTAAGGTCATGAGTCGCACGATGAAACAGCACTGCGCGATATTTCATCCGCTTTCGAAGAGTTATGTTCTTTGGTTCTTTCGGTTAAGTCACGTAGATAGAAAAAGTAATAAAAAATAAAACCACGACGTTTCGATCGCAACACAAGCGGTCGTCATCAGGAAAAGGGGGGTTAGCATCTAAAGGCAAACTGCTCATAAAGGTTTAAAATGGGCGTAGCCCAGCCAGTTATGACTTAAACTGGTTGGTCAAGTCCTTCCAATGATTGCTAAGTTTGTCCCATCCTGCCACCTTCCGATGTTGTTATTTTCGGCTCTCCGATTTTACATTAACAGCTTAAATTTCTCACACCAACACAGCCACCTTCGTGCGCCGACCTAGAGCTTGCGGCTCCGCGATCTCCCATTTAGATGCTAATCTCTCACATTAGCATAGCCACCTCAGCGCACTCGCCATGGAGGGCCACTGTGCGATCTTACATTAACATGCTAACTTTTTACCTGGCAGCACTTTAGTTGGTGGAAACCCACCACCAGCGCCGTCATTGACCATCACATTAACATTAGCTGCTCCGCCCATGCTGCTGACACTTGGGCTACGCCCATTTTAAACCTTTATAAACAGTTTGGCTTTTCGAGGCTACACCCCCCTTTTCCTGATGACGACCGCTTGTGTTGTTGCGCACAGACCAACAATGAATTTTGCTGCACTGCCTTCTGCTGCCCACCATGTAACCTATAGCACCTGTTATGCATGGCGACCACTCATCGAAGCACTTTTCAGGCTTAAAAAAAACCCCTGCTTGGCTTGCTAAATCTGATGGGCCGATGTCAAGTTTCTTCTTCGTACGGCTGACATTGATGTAAGGAGCGGTGTTTCTCAAACTTGGTAGGCCCACGAACCACTCAGCTGATGAAAACATGAGGTGGTGGTTGTAGAGCCAGATTATCTCGTCGGGAGTCGCGGAGTGGCACATCGTCGCTTCTGACGATGCCGCCTCTGGTTTTTTTTTGTGAATCTGGAATCGAGTCACGGGTATGTTCCCATGGTTCAATTTCTGGGTGGTGACCACAGTCGCACAGCGAGGAGTTTTTCAGTTTAACACGGAGGCTTTGGCAACCAATATCCATAATTTAGGTTTTTGTTTATGCTATATAACCCAAAAAAAACCTATATTATGGGGAGTTTTTTAGTTGCCATTTGTGCGTCAGCTCTCCGCATCAGCCGCCACCATTTGTGCGGGTGCGGTTTAGAGTCAGATTTTGAGTGATTTGGTCACAGGTTTTGACCGTTTGTGTTATGGTCGAAACGTCATGAGAATTTTTATTGTTTTATATATATTCTATTATTTTATTGTTTTCCTTCAACGTGACTTTACCGAAAGAGCTAAGAATATGAATAAGCTATTTGTTATTGCATTAAATTTTTCACCACGTAAAGCGACCTGGGAACAAATTATAACTCAACGAAGTGGCTTATCGTGTGGAAATTGACAGCAGCAAAATACTCTTAAAGCGTTGATGTTGATTTAAAATGTGGTGGGAAAAACCGGAGGAGCCGGAGAAAAATCCACGCGACGACGGGGAGAACATCCAAACTCCAAATATACAACAGGTGTCAGGGTTGGGATGGAACCCACGACCTCCTGTATACCAGGCGAGGTAGTGAACATCTCGCCACTGCGGTGCCCCAACGCCACTGGATACCCAGTATATGGGTCTACAGTAGCAACATTACTCATTGGGATTCGTAAAAAAAAACTTTGGGATGCATTTTTAAAGACTCGACGATCAAAGGCAAGGTTAAGAGGGCATCGCCGTGGCGAGCGCTATTTACGTCGCCACAACTCGCCGTCACTTCCTCCTGGCAGATCCACAGCTGTTGCACAGTCACCATGCCGTCTCCAAGGGACGGAGTTGGTGACTGTGCCGCCATCTGGCCTCTGGTCTCTTTTCCCCCCTCGGCCGCCGACCGATTAGCTTTGGACGCAGCTGACGCGCCGATTCGTCGTGGCCGTCGGTGGCTCCTATTCCAGGCTATTAAATCCAGCGCCGTTGGAGGCGGCAGCAAGGGTCAGTGGATCGCCGCGCGAATGGTGTGCAGCTTCCCCGCGAGCTTCGAGGAATTGCCGTCGGAGCAAATGCGGACTCCACCTGTTCCATCTGTGTGGGATAGTGTTGTTGAACCCCCCACCCCCCCCCCCCACTTTATTCATGGGTTTTCCCTGGGCTCTCCGGTTTGCTCCCACATGTATAAACACTCATTCGTTTGCCGGTAACGTTTTAATAAGTAGAGGACCGCAGAGCTTGGACAATTGTTGGAAGTGCCGGCTCCTCACCACGTGGCTGCTGCTGCTGCTGCCGCCGTCATCGCCGATCGTCGGTGGTTCCTCGTTCTCGCATCTCCGAGTCGTTCTCTCGCTCGGCCAGAGTGAGGAAAATGATTGAAATTATTTTAAAGTTTCCCAAGGGCGTGAAACGTAATTCGCAAAGTTAAAAGTGCTTTCCACACCCGATTGAGCACGGGGCGGTAGGTCCTCTCCCGCTCGCATTCCTCAGCCAGTGGTGAAAATTCAACATTTCTGTGGCGAGGTGTGGGCCAGGGGGGTGGTGAGTCTTGTTAAGACAACCGCTGTTAACTTACTCTCATGGTATTAACTTTATTGACCCCGCCCCAAGGAATGAGAGGCCGAGTTGACCCCCGACTGGGATTTGAACTGGAAACGTGCATTTTAGAGTATTTGGCTCCTGCTATAAATGTCCGCGTGATAAGCCGCTTCGTTGAGCTATCATTTGTGGCCAGGTCTCTTCTGAAAAAGAGCTATACAGCTCAGTGGGCTTTACTTGGTCAAATAACAAAAAATTGTTTATAATTAGTTAAACGCCTCTCCTACCATTGTGCCTCGTGGTGTTTCTTGCAAGATTTTAATCTCGGATCTAGCCACGAGAACATCGTTTCATGCTACGTGAGACACGAAGGGATTGCTTACTACTTACTGCCGTTAAATAACAAACGATCAAAGTGCTGTCGCTGAAGAGTACGCTGATGCCACTCGCAGCCGTAGACATTTTTTTTTTATGTTTATATTACTAAGCACATAATATTGGTTGTATTGTCTTGTTTTGTTGGCGATACACATGTATTTACATTTCCACTGTTTACGTGCACGCTGTAACACTAAATTATAGCTTCCACTACTTTATCAAAAAAACATTTAGTTTCTAAAAAGTGCCAGGTTTTTTGTATTGCCTCTTTTTAAGACAACTTCATTATTGTGAAACATTGATAAAAGCAAAAATAAGCACCCTCTCGAAATGAGGTCAAATGGACCGATCCACAACCCACTGCGTGTGACTTATGTATTGACACGAGTCTTGAACTGAACTGTTTCTGTTTAAATCTCAATTGTAACGGTTGAAATAAAACAAATGACAATCTTTAACTGTTTAATAATACATTGATGCGTTTTGTTTTTAATTCCATGAAATATCCAAAGGTCAGAGTGTGCACACAACAAATAAATATTGGAGTGATCTATTTGCGGCCAGTCCCGAACCACGTATGGAAATTCCACAGTATCATGAGCAGTCCAAAAATTTACCATTTTTGATCATAATATAACTTGATCCTCTTACTCCAATCGAAAGCTGAATGATAATAATAATATTTAGGGAATTTGGGTAAAGTCACGTAGATAGGTTCAAAGAAAACAAAAAATAATAAAACTACGACGTTTCGATCGCAACACAAGCGTTCGTCATCAGGAAGTAAAGATAGCGGGACAGCTGAAGGTTTAAAATGGGTGTGGCCCAAGGGTCATAAACGAAGTGGGTGGGGCTAGTTATGTTAATGTGAGAAATTAGCATGTAACTGTAAGATCGGAGAGCGGCCTCCACGTGGGCGTGGAGGTGGCTATGTTAATGTGAGAAATTAGCATGTTAATGGCAGATCGGAGAGCGGCCTCCACGTGGGCGTGGCTATGTTAATGTGAGAGATTAGCATGTTAATGTAAGATCGGAGAGCGGCCTCTACGCGTAGGTGGCTATGTTAATGTGAGAGATTAGCATGTTAATAACATCAGAGAGCGGCGTCCACGTGGGCGTGGCTATGTTAATGTGAGAGATGAGCATGTTAATGGCAGATCGCAGAGCAGCAACGTCGAACTCGCGAGAGAGGTGGCTGTTTTAGTGTGGGAAATTTAACCTGTTAATATCAAATCGGAGAGCCAAAAATAACAACTAAAGTGGTAGGATGGGAACATCACAGCCAGTTATGAAACGTCGTTTTTTGTTATTTTTCTTTGTGATATATATTTTCTAATTTTATTGTTTCCCTTCAACGTGACTTTACCGAAAAACCCAAGAATATGAATTCCTGCAGTCACGAAAGCTTTAACTCAAGATATAATATTTAGCTTCATATATTTGCGTCATCGTTCGTACAGGCCACACGTCACAATCGATGAGGAACCACAAAGCTGGAAGGCATCGGCCATTCGGTGGTGAACCGGCGCTACCATCAATTACCAAAGCTCTACAGTCCTCTATATATAGAGATGTTTCAAACCAATCGACGAGCGTTAATAGGATCAAGGAAACGCTCACCACTGACCTGCCCACGGGGCATAGAACCCGGCGAAAGCAGAATAACAATATAAACAATGCACCTCTCCTGCTGAATGCGTGCAGCAAATCAACTTCAAACCCCGCGCATTGAAAAGCAGTCGCTGTTTCAAGCAGAAAATGAATGATGCTTTTTTAAAGAAAGAAAAAAGAGAGAACGCTCCACTGCTCGTAGCGACGACGACGAGGTGGTGGTGATGGTGATGGTGGTGATGCCAGATTACGTCTCCTCCATCACACTACACCGAATGGCAGTCGCC